TGGTCTTTTTGCTACCAAAAGGAATGAGCATCATTTTTTTGGTTAAAATGTATGTTTTTTAAAAAAAGTATTTTAAAAATAAAAAAGACAATTGGTAACAAGAGACACGCCTAGTCAGCTGCTCTGATTTTTAAAGAGTAGTGATAAAAATTATTTTTTATTTTTAAAAATATTTTATTTCTTACCAACCACCAAAACACAAACAGTGAAACCCCCCAAGGCGGCTGATACATTGGGTATACATATTCAATAATATTCAATAATAACATATTCAAATCAACCATATGTACAATTATATATACCTTAACATGCCTCCCTCCACAAGGTTTATTTAACTTTTAACATTTTAATTGCCCTAAATTGTTCAAACCTACCCAAATAATTCAGTATCTTCTCAAACCAATCCTGATAAAAAGAGCAGTGATAAAAATGATGATGCAAAGTGAGTTCAAGGCATCCTTTTCTCATAAGAACAGCTTGCTGGATTAAGCCAATGACCCCTCTAGTCCAGCTGGTCTCACAGTGGACATCCAGATGCCCAAACAGGGAAACCTGTAAACAGGATTTGAGCACCAAAGCCCTCTCTCCTCCTGGGGATAGTATTCAGAAGCATGACTGCCTCTGACCAGGAAGGCAGAGTATAGCCATCCTGGCTAGCAGCCATTGATAGCTCTCTCCTCCATTAATTTGTCTAATCCTCTTCTAAAGCCATCTAGGTTGGTGGCCTGAGGGACGCGAGTGGCGCTGTGGGTTAAACCACAGAGCCAAGGCTTGCCAATCAGAAGGTCGGCGGTTCGGATCCCCGTGAAAGGAAGAGCTCCCGTTGCTCAGTCCCTGCTCCTTCCAACCTAGCAGTTCAAAAGCACGTCAAAGTGCAAGTAGATAAATAGGTACCGCTCTGGTGGGAAGGTAAACGGCGTCTCCATGCGCTGCTCTGGTTCGCCAGAAGCGGCTTGGTCATGCTGGCCATATGACCCGGAAGCTGTACGCTGGCTCCCTCAGCCAGTAAAGCGAGATGAGCGCCACAACCCCAGAGTCGGCCATGACTGGAGCTAATGGTCAGGGGTCCCTTTACCCTTTAGGTTGGTGCCTGCTTGGGAAGACAGGTGAAGGCAAACTAATGCCAGTGTACTGGAAGAAGCAAAGACCACCAGTGTCAAAGCAATGATTCTTCAACATCAACTTCGTTGGACTGGTCATGTTGTGTGGGTGCCTGATTATCTTCCAAAGCAACTACTCTATTCCAAACTTAAAAATGGAAAGCGTGATGCTGGTGGTCAACAAAAGAGGTTCAAAGACTGTCCCAAGGCAAATTCCCAAAAATGTAGTATAAACACCGACAACTGGGAAACACTGGCCTGCGAGCGCTCCAGTTGGAGAACAGCCTTTACCAAAGGTGTCATGGGCTTTGAACAGGACGCAAGGGAGAAACGTGCTAAGAGGAAGGCACGCTTGGCAAATCCACACCATGATCAACTCCCGCCCGGAAACTCCAGAATTGGCCTCCATAGTCACTTACGGACTCACTGTTAAAACCGTGTTTATGGAAGACAATCTTACTCGGCTACGAGTGAATGCCAAGGAAAAAGAAGAAGAAGAAGAAGAAGAAGAAGAAGAAGAAGAAGAAGAAGAGGAGGAGGAGGAGGAGGAGGAGGAGGAGGAGGAGGAGGAGGTTGGTGGCCATCACTGCTTCCTGTGGCAATGAGTTCTACAGTTTAACTATGAGCTGCATGAATGAGGACAAACCTTTATCTGTCCCAAATCTTTCAGCTCCTCTCAAACCTGCTGCTTCTCAAATTAGGGCCCTCCAGACATTTTAATGGCTCTTTTAATTGCTACACTTTCTAGTGGGCTTGCTTCATTGCGTATTTTAAAAATGTGTGTTTCTAACGTTTTTAAGAAATTGTTTTATTGTGTACTGTTTTATTACACATGGGCTTTATAACTGTTTTTGTGCTTGTAATCTGCCTCAAACCAGTTTGGCATTTGTTACAGTACATTAATTTGTTAATTATCATAATAACCATGTTTTGGATGACAACTCCCATAAGCCGCAAGCCAACAGATGTTCTGGCCTGCAGCTTCCACGAGCCGCTTTTGGGAACTGCAGTCCAACACATCTGGAGGGCAACTAGGGGGGACAAAGGCATCTCTTGCAAACTTTTGTGCCTTAACAGCTGCACAAGTCACGAGCATAACGTGTGCAATAGCATCTCTGAGCTCTAGATGGCGAGGTGACTTTGCACTCGACTGATACTAACTCCATTGGAAAATCGCATTTAGAGGAAGTTCGCGTTGACGGCTCAAGTTCTTTTGCCTGGCAAGTACGTCTCTAATACAACAACAACAACAAAGTTCCTCTCAAAGTGCAGGGCAGAGTGCAACACGCAAAACCACAATAAGCAATCATTTGCAAGGACTAAGCTGGGACCAGGGGTGCCAACTTGAATAAAATATTGGGGGAGGGGGCAGGAAAGCCACTCCCAACATAATTGATCACATGACATGACACATGACGTCTCTCTCTCTGAATGGCAATGCCCATCAACTTTAGGAGCCCCCAGATGCCTCAAATATTTTATTGGGAGGGGCGCAAGGACCTCGGGCCCCCAAGAGTTGGCTCCTATGGCAAGGGCCCCAGGTAGTCCAGGGTTGCGATTCCTGCACGGTGAGGGGTTGGACTAGATGACCTGCGGGGTCCCTTTCCAGCTCCCCGGTGCTGCTGGTGCTGCTGTTGTTTAGTCGTTTAGCTTTTACTATACGGACCTTTGTTGGCAAGGTGATGTCTCTGCTTTTTAAAATGCTGTCTAGGTTTGTCATTGCTTTTCTCCCAAGAAGCAGGCGCCTCTTAATTTCGTGGCTGCTATCACCATCTGCAGTGATCATGGAGCCCAAGAAAGTAAAATCCCTCACTGCCTCCATGTCTTCCCTTCTATTTGCCAGGAGGTGATGGGACCAGTGGCCATGATCTTCCTTTTTTTGATATTGAGCTTCAGGCCATATTTTGCGCTCTCCTCTTTCACCCTCATTAAAAGGTTCTTTACTTTCTGCCATCAAGGTTGTGTCATCTGCACATCTGAGGTTGCTGACATTTCTTCCGGCAATCTTAATTCCGGCTAGAGATTCATAAATGAAATCTTGCTCAGGGTTTAAAGTCATCATTTGTGGCTGTTTGAACCCCTGGCTGAGCTAAGTTTCACTTCTTGATGGTCCAGCTCTCACTTCCATACATCACTACTGGGAAAACCAGAGCTTGAACTATACGGACCTTTGTTGGCAAGGTGATGCCTCTGCTTTTTAAGATGCTGTCTAGGTTTGTCATTGCTTTTCTCCCAAGAAGCAGGCGATGCTAGCAGCGTGGAAAAGTAAAAAAAATTCCTTCCAGTAGCACCTTAAAGACCAACTAAGTTAGTTCTTGGTATGAGCTTTCGTGTGCATGCACACTTCTTCAGATACACTGAAACAGAAGTTGCCAGATCCTTCTATATAGTGAGAAGGTGGGGAGGGGTATTACTCAGAAGGGTGGTGGGAATGGGTGATTGGCAGATAGCTGAGATGAGCCTGTTGACGACTCTTAACGACTGCAATAGGTCTTACAGGAAAAGGCAAGGGGTGAGAAGGTGAGAAATGGCTTAGTCATGTATAATGAGATAAGAATCCAATGTCTTTGTTCAGACCAGGTCTCTCCATGGTTTTAAGTTTGGTAATGAGTTGCAATTCAGCAGCTTCTCTTTCCAGTCTATTTCTGAAATTCCTTTGTAGTAAAACAGCTACTTTGAGATCTTGTATAGAATGTCCTGGGAGCGTGGAAAAGGTGAGGGTCGCGCTGTGGCCCCGCCCCCTCCCCTCTGGCCCCGCCCACCGCGGCAGGTAGGGCCGAAAAAGGGACCCCCCCTATCTCCCCAAGCGGCCGCCTCGCAAGGGCAGCCGCGACGGGGCGCGTTTCCTTCGCGCTCCGGCGGCCACGCGAGGCGGACGCCGCCGCCGCCGCCGCCCTGCCTAAACCGGGGCTCTCTGCCCTCACCCCCAGCCGCCCCACCACCGCCGCTCTCCCCTCCTCAAGCGCCCCTTCTTCCCCAGCCGGAGCCCGACGGCTGCCCGCGTCCCTCCGGCCGGGGCGCGCGGCGGGGAAAGGGCGCGCGGAGTTTCGGCTGAGGCGAACGGAGGTGGGACGGCCGAAAAGGCGGGCGAGAAGGGGAAGGAAGCCCCTCGCTCGCTCGCTCGCCGCCTCCCCTCCCTCAAGCGCCCCTTCTTCCCCAGCCGGAGCCCGACGGCTGCCCGCGTTCCTTCGGCCGGGGCGCGCGGTGCGGCTGGAGCGCGCGGAGTTTCGGCTGAGGCGAACGGAGGTGGCCGGTTGCCCGGAGGTGGGACGGCCGAAAAGGCGGGCGAGGAGGGGAAGGAAGCTCCTCGCTCGCCGCCGCCTCCTCTCCCTCCCTTTAAAGGACAACTTTGCGAGCGAACCGCTGGGCGCCCTGGCCCCGGGGAGGCGCGAGGAGCCGCGGCGAAGGCGGAGGCACAGGCGGCCGGGGGTGGGTCGCTTCCTCCGCCTCCTCCTCCTCCTCGGAGTTTGGCGCTCCGTATCCGGGAAGGAGCGAGCCCGGAACTGGGAGCCCCTGAGGAGACGCCACAGCCGCCCTCGAAGTTCGCCTTCTCCCTCAGGCGGCGCCATGCGGCGGCTCCGGCTGAGGGGCCCGTGTCCGGGCAGGGGCTGCGCGGTGGCGCTGGCGCTGCTGGCCGCCGTGGCCTTCTTCGCCGTGGCGCTGTCGCTGGCCAGCCTGCAGGCGCCCCCGGCCGGCGAGAGGCGCTCTCCTGGCGGGGAGAGGCGCTTCTCCGACGGGGCGGAGCGGCCCGAAGACCTGGCCCGCCCCGTCTGCGAGAAGGCGCCGCCGGACCCTTCGGCCCCCGGGGAGTGGGGCAAGCCTGCCCACCTGCAGCTGAGCCCTGAGGAGAAGAAGGAGGAGGAGGCGCTGGTGGAGCAGTACGCCATCAACGTCTACCTCAGCCAGAAGATCTCGCTGCACCGCCACATCCAGGACGGGCGCATGGCCGAGTGCAAGGCCAAGGCCTACCGCTACCGCCAGCTGCCCACCACCTCGGTGGTCATCGCCTTCTACAACGAGGCCTGGTCCACCTTGCTGCGCACCGTCCACAGCGTGCTGGAGACCTCTCCGGCCGTCCTGCTGAAGGAGGTCATCTTGGTGGACGACCTGAGCGACAAGGTCTACCTGAAGGGTCAACTGGAGAAGTACGTCAGCGGCCTGGAGAGGGTGCGCCTGATCCGCACCAACAAGCGCGAAGGGCTGGTCCGGGCGCGCCTGATCGGGGCCACCTTCGCCACCGGCGACGTCCTCACCTTCCTCGACTGCCACTGCGAGTGCGTCCCCGGCTGGCTGGAGCCGCTGCTGGAGAGGATCGCCGAAAACATGAGCACCGTCGTCTGCCCCGTCATCGACACCATCGACTGGAACACCTTTGAGTTCTACATGCAGTCGGCCGAGCCTATGATCGGGGGCTTCGACTGGCGCCTGACGTTCCAGTGGCATTCGGTCCCTGACTACGAGCGCCAGAGACGCAAGTCCAAAATCGATCCCATCAGGTCGCCCACCATGGCCGGGGGCCTGTTTGCCGTGAGCAAAAAGTACTTCGAATACCTGGGCACCTACGACATGGGGATGGACGTCTGGGGAGGAGAGAACCTGGAGCTGTCCTTTCGGGTGTGGCAATGTGGGGGCATCTTGGAGATCCACCCCTGTTCGCACGTGGGGCATGTGTTTCCCAAGCGGGCTCCCTACGCCAGGCCCAACTTCCTCCAGAACACGGCGCGGGCGGCGGAAGTGTGGATGGATGGGTATAAAGAGCACTTCTACAACAGGAATCCCCCGGCACGGAAGGAGAACTACGGAGACATCTCAGAAAGGAAGCTCTTGAGGCAGCGCCTGAAGTGCCAGAACTTCGACTGGTACCTGAAGAACATATTTCCGAACTTGCACGTGCCAGAGGACCGCCCTGGTTGGCACGGAGCCATCCGCAGCGTGGGCATCTCTTCCGAGTGCCTAGACTACAATTCTCCCGAGCACAACCCGACTGGCGCCCACGTCAACCTCTTCGGGTGCCATGGGCAAGGAGGGAACCAGTTCTTTGAGTACACATCGAATAAGGAAATCCGGTTCAATTCCGTGACAGAGCTCTGCGCCGAAGTTCCCGACCAGAAGGATTTTGTGGGCATGAGAAACTGCCCGAAAGACGGCTCCGCTATCCCAGAAAACATTGTGTGGCATTTTAGAGAAGACGGGACCATTTATCACCCTCATTCGGCAAAATGCCTTAGCGCTTACCGCACTGCCGAGGGCCGGGCTGACGTGCAGATGAGGACATGCAACGCAGAGGATAAAAACCAGTTGTGGAAGTTCGAAAAATAGAAATTGGTCTGGGAGTCTCTGTCCAAGACTACTTCCAGCTGACTTAGTGTGTATTCCCACTAAGTCTGGCTTAGCGCGTCTTCCCATTAACTGTTAATGCCAGATTTAGGTAGCTTCTAAAAGGGTTTTTAACAGGTTTGGGAATGGCAGGGAATGACTGTGAAGAAGCAGGGTGTTGGGGACTTGCCATCTGAAGTGCCTTTTATTCTAAGCTCCCATTGGCGGGGGCTGATGGGGGTCATTGTCCAATATCTGGACGGGTGGATCCTAAGGTGTTCACTTAAAAGGGAACAACTATAATTTGTGTGTGTGTGTGATTGTAATACTTTGGGAACAAGGTGGCCTTGGTTAGAACTGCAGATTACTGAAGGTTTATGTTACGTGTTACTGTGACAATGCGGGGGGGGGGGCGACTGAAATCAATACAAACGCAGCCACAGTACAGATAATAACATTAATACGAGTTACGCCAGGGAAAGGGAAGCTGTGGTTCTCCAGGTGTTGGATCGATCAAGGCTCCCATCAACTCTTGCCATGTTGACAGGGGTTGTTGGGAGTTTTGGTCCAGCGACTACAGGACGGCCACATGTTCCCCCATGTCTGGGTTAACTATATGCATAATTCGTGGCTAATGGGGTGGTTTGGCCAAGAAGTGGGAGAAACATCACCCTTAGGGTGCTGCCTGAGTGTTGCACATAGGAGTCTCGTTGAGTGTGTTGGGAGAAAATATTGCTTAGCTTTTAGGGCAGCTTACCAACTCCCATCAGTGCGCTGGCTGGGGTTGATGGGAGTTGTAGACAACCTGGAAGGCGCCAGGTTAGCAGTGGCCCTGTGCTATGCCAAAATCCCAAAATGCTCCATTCTAAATAATAGTTGTGGGGGCCCCAAGGCACTGTGCCCTAAATTCACCTCCGAGGTTAGAGAAGGCTGCAGAGTAGCAACAGGCCTGAGTTCATGTCTCTGGTTCTTAATGCACCTCAGATATATATACATAGGTTTTGCTTTTCATTATTGAGAGCAGAGTGAGGAATAAATACAATCTGCATTGTGCAAGTGGTGAAAGCAATCATTTGTTAACTTAGGGAGGAGGTAATCAAGTTGTAGCTGAGGATAACAGTACAGTGGTACCTCAGGTTACATACGCTTCAGGTTAAATACTCAGCTAACCCAGAAATAGTGCTTCAGGTTAAGAACTTTGCTTCAGGATGAGAACAGAAATTGTGCTCCGGCGGCACAGCAGCAGCTGGAGGCCCCATTAGTTAAAGTGGTACTTCAGGTTAAGAACAGTTTCAGGTTATGAACGGATCTCTGGAGCGAATTAAGTACTTAACCCGAGGTACCACTGTATTAGTGGCAAATAAGAGTCTTTGTTATTGACGACGCTGAAAAATGTCAAAAGGATGGGAAACCAGACTTGTTTCTTGTATCGGAAACACCTGCGTCAATATCTAGAGCAGGCGTGGGGATATTTGGCCCTCTGGATGTGGCTGGACTACAACTCCCATCAGCCTTCGCAAGCACAGCCAATGGCCAGGGATGATGGGTATTGTAGTTCACTGACACCTGGAGGGCCAATGGCTCCTCGCACCTGATTTAAAGGCTGTTTATCGATGTTTCCCAAACTTGAGTCTACAGTTGTTGTTAAACTATAACTCCCATCATCCCTAGCTAGGAGGACCAGTAGTCACAGATGATGGGAATTGTAGTCCAGAAACAGCCGGAGACCCATGTTTGGGAAATACTGCTCTATATCAAGATTTGCAATTCCTGATAGTAGCTATTTATGATCTCTGCCTTATCACTGTTTACATAATCAGTTACGTGTAGCGCTTTAAAATCCACTGATGGGTCAGAGAATGAGAGAAACTGCTTTTTTGGATGGTTCTTAACGCACTTCAGATGGAATTCAGATTTCCCCGAGGGCTATATCTTTAGGTAAAGGTATAAGGTGTTGTCACACTTCCTTAAACGTGGCATAGCCAATATTAACTAATTGCTGCATTCCCAGGCTGAACCTTGAACTCAGAGGCTGTGCCCCTGTGGCTACGAAGTGACAGGAAGCTGGCAGGATATGCAGAGAAGCAGTGTCAACAAATCGGTGTGATACTTGCCTTTTAAGTCTCTGCCTCTGTTAAATCAACGATGCAGTATTGTAGCTAGTCTGGCAGAGGTTCAGTGAGTAAACTGCATCGTTTCATTGTCATAAGCACCTGACGGTTGACAGTATGTAGATCAATCAGGCTTTGCTAACCTGGTGCTTTCCAGATGTTCTGGCCAAGGACATCTATCAGCCCCAGCCAGCAAGGCTGACATTGGTGAATTCTTCTTAAAGAAGACTGTTACTTTCTGAAGGTAATGGTTCTGGGACCTGTGGAACTTGCCTCTTGGCAGGTAAAGTGACAAACCTTTAGCTATCTCTCTCTATATCTTAATTAAGCTGTGTTTGTTAATTGGGCATGACCCATAGCACCAGGCTACCTTGAAACTGTAGGAGAATTAACTCCCAACAGAGCCTCAAGTTATGAAGGCCAGCAATCCTAAACATCATGGTTGACAACCTTGCCGCTTGAAGCTGTTAGCTTTTCTCTCTGTGCCTCTTGTATGTAGAGAACCTTGTTTCTGCTTCAGAACTAGCCATGTGGCCACCTTAGTTAGCCATTCCAGCTTTCGGTCTTAAAAACTGAGACTGGGCACATCTAATCCTTATTCTTGATGGGGCAACCTTGACTTGTGGGACTGAGGAAATGATCACCACCACACAGAGTTGAAGGTGACAGAGGAGAAACTCAATTCTCCTGTGTTTTGCTCATTTTGCACCTGTTACTGCTCCTCTTACAGGTCACTGTAGGGTTTTAAAAAACCTGATAAACTTGTTTGAACAGCAGTGAAGGCTGGACAGGATATTAATGGGTGTGAACAGTGCCTCTAATGCCACCCTCGTTTAACTCTTTTGTCGACTGCCTTCATTTTTAGAGATGATGGCATTTGTGGTGGTCAAGGGAGAAGAGGCGCCGTGCCTAAAAACTTCCCTGCTCCTCTTCCAAAGCTACTATTCCTCCCCTGTTTCTACTTCTCATCGCCATTGCCTCTTGTAATTTCATCGCTGGGACAATCTAGGGTTTGCCAAGAATTACAGGTTATTTTGCAAGCTCCAGTCCATGGTATCGGGACAGAACGACGCGGGTGGCGCTGTGGGTTAAACCACAGAGCCTAGGACTTGCTGATCAGAAGGTTGGCGGTTTGAATCCCCGCAACGGGGTGAGCTCCCCTTGCTTGGTCCCTGCTCCTGCCAACCTAGCAGTTCGAAAGCACATCAAAAAGTGCAAGTAGATAAATAGGTACTGCTCCGGCGGGAAGGTAAACGGCGTTTCCGTGCGCTGCTCTGGTTCGCCAGAAGCAGCTTAGTCATGGTGGCCACATGACCCGGAAGCTGTCTGCGGACAAACGCCAGCTCCCTCGGCCAGTAAAGTGAGATGAGTGCCACAACTCCAGAGTCAGTCACGACTGGACCTAATGGTCAGGAGTCCCTTTACCTTTTACCTTATTATGTGCAAAGAATACGGATTTCCGAGGTGCTGGAAATGTTTGTTCACATTCCCTGCCACCCCTTCATGGTACTTGAAGGGAGACAGAAGCCAATCTGGGGAGGGAAAGAATGTGCCGCATTATATATTGAAAGCACCATGTTACCACTTTTAAAAGTCATGGCTACCCCAAAGCATCCTGGGATCTGTAGTTTGGTACAGGTGCTGGGCGTTGTTAGAGACCCTGCACGGTTCCCCAAGTTCTCTGGGAAGAAGGATTGATTGTTAAGCCCCTTTGAGAACCGTATCTGTGTGAGGGAATGGAGTTGGCCAGCCTAACAACTCTTGGCGCCCTTAACTACATTTCCCAGGATTCCCAGGGGGAAGTCACGAGACTGCTGCTAACGCAGGGTGCAGATATGGCCTGACTCTTTAGTGCCAGGAAGCATAGCTGTCAACCATCCCTTATTTGGCGGGAAAGTCCCTTATCCCAGTGCCGTGTCCCGCTGCTGTGCCTTATTGATGATGTCCCTTAAATTTCCCGGGTTTCAAAGGAAGCAGCTCCTCTCCCTCCCTCCCTCCCTCCCTGCCGGCCAGGGAGGAGGGAGGCTCCAGCTGTGTTGCTTGGCTGCGTTGCTCTCCCAATAAGGAGTCTAAGAACGACTGGGGGATGGAGCTTGCATGCCTTGTGCCGATCAAATCGGACATGTTCCCTGGGGACTCGCCTTTGCTCAGCGCTTCCCAGCGGAGAGGTGACGGTGGTTTTCCTTGCTGCATCCCCTTTGCCGGGTTGCTGCGCTGTGGGAACCACTGCTTGAGGCTTTGTTTTGGCTGCTAGCTGGGCTTTCTGCCTTTGGCTCGGAGGGGCTCAGAAGGTGAACATGCCTGTGCTCTGAAAATCCCTTATTTTGGCTGCTGGTCCCTTATTTTCAAATCTGTAAGTTGACAGCTATGCCAGGAAGACCTATGACCTTGAAGCACAGGTGCGGGGAAAACAGCACACCGGAGCGAACAAATCTATGTCCGTTCTGTGGCCAATAAGAAATGAACTCCATCTTCTCAGGCCATCCAGAGGTGCTGAGTTTGCTGGCCAGAATAGCTGCTACGCCGCATGGAAACAAGTGTCTTAGGTCAAGTTTGGATGATCAGTTTTCACCTGCAGTGTGGTGGTGAACGTTGCAGTTGCTGCAGAGCGATATCTCTGTGGAAGAGGGCCTTCTGAAATTTTCCTGCTTGTGTTGGGACTCTGTGGACGTGCCCCCCTCCCTTCTTGAAGCTGTATTGAATTTCTGACATGCCAGAATTTCTGACATGCCCTTAGATGTTTTGTACTGCAGCTCCACTGGTTGGTGAAAAGGGACTTTAGTGTTACAGTCATACGATGACCGTATTAGTGCAAAATCACTGATCTGAAACCACCCTTACGGCTTCAGAATGATGGCTATTAAACCAGAACTAACAGTTACGGGAAAGTTATTGTAGGTAAGATTCCACTGTGCACATAATATGCCAAGGTATTCCTATGACACTTTAGTATTGTGATGATTTAGCACCGTTAAATTCTATGGTGGAGCTGAGGCGTAGAGTGTCTTAACCACAAGTGACCTTGTAAAGGTTTTTCTAAAAACGTTTTTCCCCTTTTCTATGCACACTGAAGCTGGATTTACACTGAGCTCTGTGCGAAGCACTATCTCACTATGAGCTTGTGTGAGCTATGCAATTATATCCAACTATATGTGCCTTATTTCTTTTTTGAAGGTTCAGGGGGAAAAACTTGTATTTTCTTACGGAGGACTGTTTTTATTCCTAACATGAAGGTGTGCCAATCTACAGTTCTCTTGGGACGGCAATCCTGAACCCATTTGCTAGCGATTAAGAGGTCGTCTTTAACTTTGTGGGACTTATATCAGGGTAAACATTTACAGGATTGCACTGTTAATAACTGGCGCGAAGGGAAAAAGCAAAACTGAATTAGTATTCCATCGCTGTATGAAAAGTACAGAGGAAAGAATATAATAATTGCGTGTGTCTGTGTGTAAGTTAAGATATATAAATATTTTTATACTAAGAATTTGCATTGGCAATCTTAGCTGTAGCATTGTCACTAAGTTCAGTTCAGAAAGGTAATACTGTACTGTTTACAGGCTTCTGAAATATTTGATATCTGGAAAATGAAGGTATGCATTTTAATTATACTTCAGTTCTTGAATGAATTATGAAATTGTTTGGGGAGGGATTTAAACTACTGATTTATGGTGTCTGTTTTTAGGGAAACAAATAACTTCACAATGCGTAGATGTGATTGAAAGCTCCTTGAAAAGGCGGAAATAAAACAGTTTTCAATTTAAAACTCGAATTGGCCTCTCTGTACTAATGGAACTTACTCCATTTACATCAGTCTTTGCATACTTTTATTTAGGAGCCTTAGCATCAGAAATGTAATTTACAGCTGCACGAGTTATTATAGCTAGGAAGTGGAAAGGGCAAGGTGAATATAAAATGGAAGAATGGTATAAAGAGGTGTGGGATATGGCTGTATTCATGATAAATTAACACGTGCTATTAAGGTAAGACAGAGAATATGCAGGAGAAATGATTTTGAGGAGATATGGACTGTATTTGCAGAATTTGTACTGTTAAAACGGAAAGGGGTCAAACGATCGCAAAAGGTGT